TCCCTTGTTCCAATGTCTATGTACAGCACACCGATATCAAACCAAGCTCTGATATTTCTAACTTTGTAACTTGGTTAACGTATAGTTATAAAAATATCTATTTACAGTTGCTGATGAAGATTATACATAAACCCCTCATAAGTCAACAGAGTGCACTTGGTTTTTTTTAAATAAATTATACAACATTTGAGTACTACACTATGGCAAGCGTTTCTGTTTACATATGTGGAGGATATGTGGGATAAAGAGGAGACGAGACCATCTGCAGCAGAGTGAGGATGAGAGTGGAGCTAACAATACTTTATACCTACTCGGGTTAAATGGGAAAGGCGCTATTTGACCTATGCAATTTGGGTCATATAAGGAGGTGAGAGTATATATGTATGTCTCTGGAGGAGGAGCACCTTTTTAAGATTATATGTGGACACAAGGAAAAAGAAGCACCTGTTTGGTACAAAGTTATATATGCACGGATAAAATCACATATGAAGGACTATAAGTTGTGGTCATTGTATTCACCAGTGTTAAAATCATATGTTTTTGATGTGCCCAGGAGATTGTGTACATTATATAGAGATATATGCGCGGCACTAATATAAGATATATACCTATTTGTGTGTGGAAACACATGTAAGTGTCAGCAGCACAAGTATACACAGGAGGTTGGTTATTTTTTGCGCTGAAGTTTTATTTGTAGACCTGCTTGTCGATTGCCATTACCAAACATTTCCATAGATGCCTATATTGTAATTTGTATGATGGGAGGAAATTCCTCTTTAAATGAAAGTTTCAGAAAATGTCTAATAGTTAGTTATTACTTTATCAGTATGACTAATGCTAATATCAGGCCCCTGTGAAGAAAACTCATTTTTAGTAGACTTGTTGGAGATTAGGATTCATGACAAAGCGAATAGGCCTTAATCTTCTCCTGACTGATGACCTTTGAAGATGTTCTGCAGGGATGAATTAATTAAACTAGCAATAGACACATGGTGTAGAGTTGTCGCGATTTTACAGTGGATTTAATTGTGGCATCTTTCCACAGGAGAATGCCATTACACAATCCAAATCTCTCCACAAGTACGTAGGAGAATCGCCCACAGCTGCAATGGTTTCTCAGTAATGCCACAGAGTTGTAACGTGGCAGAAAATTTTATGTGTGAAATCACATTATACTGATAATGGCTAAAGACCCAGTGCTCCCTTTGTAGCCATATTTAGGATAGTGGTGGAGGCTATATGTGATTCTAGCTGGATGATTGTCGACCGTTCTTTTCTTGGTGTGCAGGATATATATATATATATGTGTGTGTGTGTGTGTGTGTGTGTGTGTATAAATATAATATTTTTAAAGCAGAGGCCCTGGAGGAAAAAATAGGTGGGTTTTGCAATTTTATATGTCACATGGTATTTGCGCAGCAGTTTTTCAAACTAAATTTTTTGGGAAAAAATAAAATTTTAATGCAAAAACATACAATACATAACCCAATAGTTTGGTAAAATATAAAAGCTGTTATCCTGAGAAAATATATACCAAACGTCACGCTATAAAATTGTGCACGCCCATGCAACGGCGACAACTTAATTTTATTATCCATAGGTGACACTTTAAAATTCTTTACAGGTTACCACTTTAGATTACCAGAGGAGGTCTGGTGTTAGAATTACTGTCCATGATGTGGCGTTTGTGGTGATACCTCACATGTGTTTGACAATCACTGTTTGCATACGTGCCGGACTGGGTACACTCACCTTTGCGCACAAGCACAGCAGCACTTTCATTTTTTTTTTTATCCTTTTATTTTTTATTTTTACACTGTTACTTTGTTATAAAAAAAATATTTATCCCTTTTATTGCTTTCACAAGGAATGTAAACATCCCTTGTGACAGCAATAGGCCTGTTACAGGTATCCTTTATGGAGGGATCTGGGGTCAATAAGACCCCAAATCCTTCCTCTGCCCTTATCACCCCAAGTTCCGTGTGATTTAAATGCTTTTTTTTTTTTTAAAAATGACGTAGTTTATTTTAAGTAAACCGGAAGTGATGTAAGGTCATCGCTTCAGAGTTACTATATCATTGAGCCGAACATAGCCGATCTGGACTTTGTTTGGTTCTGTGATCAGCTGGTGGATGCACTGGCATATCAGTCAGGACTCCCAGTGGGACGGGAGATCATGGTAAACCCATGGAAGGCAGTGGGAGGGGGTAGACATCCCCTCCCGCTGCTTGTAATAGCAATCAAGCAGCTAGTTAGCCGCTCCGATTGCTATTACAAGAGAGCTGACCGTCGGCTCTAAAAAATGGTACCGGTACCTGCATCTGCAGGCATCATCCCGTTAAAACCACTTGAAGTCCAGTGACATACCAGGTGGTCGGCAAATGGTTTTTAAAGGACAACTATAGCCAATAAATAGATTTTGCTGCTTATCTGTTTGGCATATATGCAATACATATAAAATTGATAGCTTTTTAATGATTGGTGTGCGTGTAGTTTCAGAGTTGTCAGACAAATAATGGTGGTGGATTATGGAAGGAATTGTTTTAGTACAAGACGTGTTTTGAAGGTTCCCCCTTTAAAATGTATAACTGAATAATTCTGATCCACCCTGTGACATGCACAATCGTCTTAGCTAAACCCAGTTTCTGTGTGCGCTTGTGCCAATGTTTGAAGGTGCCTTTTCTCTTTGCTAGAAGCTGATGTAAGACTTCTATGGTACATAACCAATGCTTGTTTTCCGTTTAATAAAAGCGTTCAGCCTTGTGTTTTAAAAGGTGAACCTACAAAACAACACCCTGTACTGTTTGGTAGTACGATAGGGTTACATTTACCATCACTGCTACTTTTTGGGCACTTCTGCATGCGAACAAAAGTTAGTACAAATGTAAAAACAAAGCTAGAAAAGTAGGTGGATCGGTACTGTATGTATACAGGTGCACTAGGCAAATGATGGTCCTGACAATCCCCTGAAAATTGTATTGTAGTCGCTGTGCCTGACCACTAAAATAAAAGTAAATAATGTTGGGTGTCACCAAACGTACACTGCACTAAACAAAAACAAAAAAAAGATAGATACTGGCACCAGCTTAGGCTACTGCACATTTATTCAAAATGTATAAAAAAAAACATGAATATACATGACACATCTAAAAACCAGTGCCCCTACTGATCACCCCGTACAGCTCCCTGATGGTATTCGTTTTTAAGCTAGAAAAAGTAAGTGTATCGGGGAAAGCATTGTGACGAACGCGGCGTCAGACCCCTGACCTTCTCACTAAACTCGTGACCGAAGGACTAGCCAATCTAAAACCGCGATGTCACGTGCGTAACAATGCCACGCCCAGCTGCACCCTGCACAATGATTTTCCAGCTAATTGGACCACAATCTATGTACCGGCAGCTTGGGAGCGATTGTTACTGGGTCAGGTTAATTACGCAATTAACCCTTCACACTGCCACCACCTCCTTTTTGTACAGAGAAAGAGGAAACTTGGCGATATCAGCTATAACACTATAAGGGTTGAGATAATCATCTGTATAACACGGTCACCGCAGGCTGGTTATACAGAGGGTTAAGCAAACACAGTAGGGCTCTTTTAGAGGCAGGAATTCATAAATTGCAATAAGGAGCTATAGAAACAGTTCAACACTTTCAGAAGGAAAGATTTATTACTAAAAGGTCAAAAGGGTGCAATAAAAATATTTACAGAAAAAAGATGTAACCAATATATATATAAATATACAGAGAACAACAGCGCAGCAAAGAGATAACAGAAAGGAGGTTAAAGTACTTGCCAATCAACCTTGGGTTTGCAGATCAAGTTTCAAAGCAAAAGGGCACGTCTCCCAGGTTGGTTCTGATGGTAAAAGGGAGAATTCTTCAACGTCGCTCTCTTAGGCCTGACAACCCATTTTGTAGTTCCCTAGCAGGGGGTGTCTCTGAAGTCAAGGACCAATACCCCGTTTAGGGAGGGATCGTCTGGGCGTAGGCCTAAACTAGAGCCAAAATAGTTCATATTTTGGCTCATAACTTTCCATATGCACAAGTGACATTCCACCCGCGAGTAGATTATTATGCAGACACATCTGAGGAATGATTAGATATGAAATATGAAATTATACACTGAATGGTTCAAGAGATCTACTTTCCTGCTTTCCTCTGTATTCCAGCCAAGGAGAGTGACCTATCAAACTGTTTGTCTCTGCGTGTTCAATTTGAAGATATGCCTGGTTTTCCTGTAAGTCTCTCATATTCCAAGATATGAGACATAGGGGGAAAATGGATTTTAAAAGTGTTATCTGGTTCGTGCTGCATTGGAATGTTTTTGAACTCCTGGGAAGGCTTGCATTATCTTTTACAAGGTGCTATATTGCAGAGCTTTCTTAGACAGCCAGGTGCTCTGCTCAGAGAGGTGTATAGCCCTGGGCTCCCTGCTGGGCTCTGGCCTGTGACACTTTTTAACACACAGGCCATATGTCAGTGTGTATGAACAGAGAGGAAGGGGGGAGAATGACGGGACAAAATGGAGATTTCTTGACAAAATGGAGGGCTGCGTCCTTCACTGTGTGTACGCTTGTTACAAGCATGTCCTCAGATACGATACTTAAAAGTGCAATCTTAGGATCCATCTGTAAACTAATATGACCAATGTCATTAATCATGTCAAATATATAGCCTATATTCTTTAGAATTCTACAAAGCAGTACACACACATGTATACCCTGGCCTCCATTCACTAGTAGACTGTCCATCTGTCAAGGTTGCTAACCACAATTCAATTGATTTGCCTTTGAGCATTAAAGATCAAATAAAAAGCATAGGAAGGATGTGACCTGTACAAAGCAAGGTGTATCTGACTTCTTGGGTAAATGAGTGATTTAAGTTCAGCTCGACTTCTGGCAACATACTGGCTTGACATGTAACCAGCCCAAGCTTGCCTAGCAATGTTGAATTTTCATTATCAGAAACGAAAAATGAAGTGTTTTTTTTGTGTTGGCAGAACCCAGATCCAGATGGAGACAAGCCCCCCTGTAATTCTCAGGAGCTGGAAGAGTGTGATGTCTCACTTGAAGACTGCGCAACACTGTGTAGATTTGATGGCGGCAGTTTAAAGGCCACCCATGTAGTAAGTTGTACTCAGAATCGATCATGTGTTTAACATTTTGTATTTTATTATTTTTGTCTGTTTTGCATTTTACATAAAAATAATTAGTATTGTTCCCTTGGGCTCCTACCTTACCCTGGCTTTACTCTGGGTAATGACGGACATGGATTTGTGAGCATCCCTGCAGCTCAGTCTCCCCTGTCGACTGCCCATGTCTTTAGCATTCCTGCTAACTCCAGGAAGCATGACTTATTTTCCAGTCTGTGGCTCAGCTTTATATCTGCATTCTAAATTTGAGGAAAAGTGGAAAGTTTTTGCTGGTTTGCTTTGTAAAGGTTGCCACACATGGCTCAAATTTTGGCTGATTACTGCTAAATCGCCTGTCTCAACAAAAGTCAACTGTTCTATTGCCTTCTGTCAAATGACTGAACAATCAGGTGCAGCTACGTTTTGGGTATTCTGAAAATAGCCATCACAGCTGATACATTCATCTGCAATGTTTAGCTTTGTTGGAGGAATTGGTAAGATTTCTTTTGTTCAGCCCACGGGTGATGAAAATATTTGTATGTATGGCCAGAATTACAGCAGAGCCTTTCTTCTCCCTTCTCATTTAGGGTCAACAGCAATACTGAAATTAGAATGCAATTTGGAATTGTCCCTTGTAGAATTTTCTGAGACACATAATAATTCTTTAGTGTCTATAGGCACTTTCAGATAATTAAAGAGCCAGCAAAATAAAGTGTGATTTTATTTTATCACACAATGGCTTAAAATAACGATGTAAAGCGTATCATGAATAACCGTTCAGTGTAGGTAAAACAAAAATATAAAAACGGAAGTTATAAAGATGTGTCAACCTTATTGTCATGGCTGTCCTGCCATGTGCTTCTTGTCTGCTCAATGCAGAGGAGTCTGAGCAAGAAGAAGGAAGTGACGTGATCTTCGGTCTCTAAGAGAATGCACCTGTTTAGCTTGTCAGTATGAAAATAACCATAGTGTCATCATGCCATGGTTGTGTGCGTGTGAATGGATGGATGGATGTATGTGTTGTGTGTTGTGTATTGCGCCCTTCGCATCTTTTAGGATGTCTTTTTTATGTTACATGTAGACGTCATAATTCTCATAACTCAGAACCTTGTATGGCAAACAATTCTGCTTAGTAGAGCAATTTCATTGAAGGGAGGGGATACTACATATATGGTCTTTTGATTGACAAGTCCATATGTAGTGGCTTCATAAGTTGACAATGTTGTATCAGCCTATTCATGTGACCAGTTTCTCTGTTTAAAGAATAGTATAACTAAGAATCTATCTTTACAACATAATATCTCAATAATGTTGTATAACAAAAAATCTACTTGTGTAACACATATTACCAACTTTTAAAACATATATTAAATACACACAAATACTTAAAGAATATATTATTTCATACTAATTCTATTTTGGTTCACTTCTGACTCCCATGACATCCTATACCAAAGATCTTTTAAACCGCTATCTCTTCTATAGAAATGTCCTAAATAGTCAGCTTCCAGCTAGTTAACTTAACTCCAAATACTCTGACATTTTTTTCTGGCTCATTTGTTCAAGGCCAACCACACATTTTAATATTAATTATGATTAATCATAAAAACCAAATATTTTGCAAGCTTGCCATAAATATATAATTCCTATAAGTGCTGAATTATGAATTTGGAATTAATGTTTAACATCCCTACAGCCATTCCAATGTTGGCAGCTGGACAAAGCAGGGTATTGCTTAGTCAATCACTGCCTACAGAGGATTCACAGTGAAGTAAAGGGTCTATATTATCTTTGGAAGGGCACTTGCTGTGTAGGAGAAAATTTGCTGCACTTAAAACAAGTAAGGTGGCTATTGGTCTTTTTTTTTTCTTCTTTTTTTTTTTATAAGAGATAGGAAGATTTTAGAGGATGACATTATAATTGTAGTGATTTGACAGGACTGGTGGTGCTGTTGCTGACTTTCACAGAGACTGGAAATAAGCATGCTAGAGCTTCCCCAGGCTGGACAAAAGGCTAATAAAAACACACAAAAGGCACAACCGTTCATAGCACTTACAAAAGTTGATATTGTGGCAGGCTCCATTAGGCATATGTTTTCATGTTTTGTGTCCAGAGTTCAGATACTAGGGTAACCCGTCACAATTAACTTTATGCATCAATATGAATTGTTGATGGTGATTCTTTCCAACAAATACACTAGCAAAAACAGCATGACAATGACCCTAAACATACAGCCAGAGCTACAATGGAATGGTTTAGATCAAAGCATATTCATGTGTCAGAATGGCCCAGTCAAAGTCCAGACCTAAATCCAATTGAGAATCTGTGGCAAGACTTGAAAATTGCTGTTCACAGATACTCTCCATCCAATATGACAGAGCTTGATCTATTTTGCAAAGAAGAATGGGCAAAAATATCACTCTAGATGTGCAAACATGGTAGACAAATCCTCATAAAGACTTGCATCTGTAATTGCAGTGATAGGTGGTCCTACAAAGTATTTATTTGTAAAGAAACTTTGAAAACCATTTATCATTTTCCTCCCACTTCACAATCATGTGCCACATAAAATTCCAATAGAATACATTTGTTTTTGGTTGTAACATGGCAAAATGTGGAGAATTTCAAGGGGTATGAATACTTTTTCAAGGATATATATATATATATATATATATATATATATATATATTATATATATTTCTCTCATTTGCAGGTCCCCCCACCATGATTATTGGCTGACAATAAACATAATACAGTGGTGGAGTAAACGAAAGGTAGATGATGTACTTGGTTACATGTATAAGAGCTACTCTAGTTCTATGTGGCTTGATGCGTTGCTTGTTAGAGTGGCAGCATTGCAGAACAGAAATTATCCCCCAGACATATAGGAACAGAGTGAGTAGCTTGGTCAACCAGTCTCCATCTTTTACTGATTATTACTTTTGAGTAGACTGGCCCCTTTTTGTTTTTTTAAATCTGATTACTTGCTATGAGGAAACAGAGTAGTCTTTTTTTCAGACACTTTCCTAAGTTCAGTGCGGTGGGATGCGACAGTGCTGTATAAATGAATGTTAGTAACAGTTAGATTGTGTCAACACAATTGACATTCTTGTATTCTTATCTGGTGATCTTTTGTTCTGCTGTTGTAGTTTTCATCTGTAAAAAAAAATAAAAAATACTTTGATGAAAGAAATTCAGTCATATGAAAAAGTAAGTACACCCAGTGGCATTGTTTACTTTCTGAACATATTTGAACAGGCAAATAATAGATATTCCTTCACGTAGTGTCTACAAATAAAGGTCATATACTTGAACAATCACACATAAAATTGACATTATTATTATTATACAGTATTTATATAGCGCCAAAGGGTTTGCTCAGCGCTGTACAAAGGCAGGGGGACAAGACATGAGAGAAGACAGAGACAGTGCGATACACGAGGGGTTCGAGGGCCCTGCTCTTTTGAGCTTACAATCTAGGAGATGTATTTATTAGAACTGGGTGTTCTAGATTGGGCACAAATAAATAGAACCTTCTTAGGTAGTATATGGGGTGAGCTTGTCTTATTTAGGCTAGGTTCAAATGGTAGAGGCTGTATTGTATGGGTACGGGAATAGCTGCAGAAATTGCAAGACTGCTATTCATTCTTAATGGCACCTCCACTCATCTAAAAACAGTGTGTTTGCGGGTGTGGCAAAAGCACCATGCAATTTCCCGGCCTCTGTGGTTTAAAAATGGTGCAACAACCTTTTTCCTGCATGAAACGCAGACACGGCAGCCCAATCAAATGAATGGACTGCCATGCCCGAGCAAACGTTGCTCGCAGAGCCGCAGTTGTGTGAACCTAGCCTTAAACCTCAGACATCTGTGGTCTAGTATTTTCCTTGCTATTACATGTGACACCATCATGCCAAGATCAAAAGAGCTCTCTAAGACCCTCAGAAGGTTGTGGATGCCTAAAAATAAGACAACATGTTAAATTCAAATTATTTAAAATTGATAATTTCACTGTAAGAATAATAATCAAGTATCTCTTCTAACCTTTTTTTTCTTTCCTCTTCTCTTTCTGGTATTATGTTGGGTTGCTGCTGATAATATTTGGTTCGGCTTTTTGCCGTCCTTCCTTGCTGTCATTGGACATTTTGTTATTTGGCTAATACAAGTCAGCAGGCTGATCTGTTTGTGTTATTGTTCTGATCGGCCCCTGCGTGGGCGTATTTTTGAGCTTGTTGTATTCCTAAAACAAAACTTTCTTAATAAAAATATTGAAACAGAAAAATAAGTATCATAGATGTCATACAGCTGCTAATTTGACCAAGCAAATTCAGCCTAAGAGTTGACCATTTAACTCTAAATTAAGTCTCAAAAAATTGCAAGATGTGCAGATTATTATTATTATTATTTTTATTATTATAATACAGGATTTATATAGCGCCAACAGTTTGCTCAGCACTTTACAATATATAGGGAGGCAATACAGCAATGACACAGTTCAATACAAGAGGGTTATGAGGACCCTGCTCCTTGGATCATCTAACTCTTACAACAGTCAGTGTCAATGTGTATGAATCTATGATCAGATTAAGATTACATCAATGTAACCACCTGCATTGAAAATTTGCCAGGAAAAAGCCTTTGTTGTCCAAAATAGAATATTACAGCAAGACTTTGCAATTTGCCTTCGAATATATAGGCAAACACCAGGCCTGGAACAATGTGCTGTGAACTGATGAATCAAACAAAGAGTTGTTTGGTCATAGTTAGAGTAGACCTGAAGACAGAAGACAACAATTTTGGAGAAGACTTTCATAGTAACTGTAAACCATAGTAATGGAAATGTTATGGACTGGGGTTGCTTTACTACTTTAGAGCTTGGGTATCATACAGGCATTGAGTCAGCTATGAATCATCTGAAAGTGTACTTAAAGAGAATGTGAGGCCATTTGTTTAAAACTACATTTGGAAATTGAGCTTTTAACATATTGATCTGATGCACACAAAAAATCAAATATCTCAAAACAAAGAAAAGGAGCGTTATGAACTGGCTAAGTCAAATCCCTAATTTAAATCCCGTTGAAAAGTTTAGGGATATTTGAATAGGGCAG